ATATAATATAATATAATATAATAATATTAGTTTTAACTCCAATGATATAAAAATGAAGACAGAAATATACTACTGGTGTTCTGTAAAATAAAATAAAAATATCTATATATTTGATAATTATAATAATTATTTTATTTTACTCTACAAGTTAAAATACTGAAAATACAATTTCAGTTTTATTTTGAATAATTATGCAGCCTCTTTTTTTATTTTAATTTGCATTTGATTTTGTTAATTAATAGCTTTTCATCAAACCCCCTGCAGTTCCCAGTTCCCCAAACCGGTTTTAGCAACCATTATAAAGTAGCTAGCAACTCCTGTCTTAATCAGCTGAACGATTTGTGCTATCATTCATGTCTGAATCATGGTGTGGGACGACTTACATGAAAAAAACACTAAGTCAAAGTATAAGCAATAGTAATAGTGATGGTTGACTTAGCACACAGATAACATGTTTGCCAAATGTCATTCCATCCTTTCCATCAAATCTCCTCTTCCCATAATAAGAATACCATCATTTCTATTCCAGCATCTGGAATTATCCTTAGGCTACAAGCTGACAGCTGTACATACCAGTGCACATGCAGATACAGACTACTATATGATGAGACTTTAAAAGGACATCCCTTAAAAATCATATTTTAGTACAGGCAAAAATTTATTTTTATTCCTTTTTTCAGATTACACATTTAAATGTTTCGTGAGTTTCAACAGATACGTTTCCATTCAAGCCCAGCTTGATGATATGAGCAGCCTCTTCTCTATATTGCACTTTTTTTCTTCATTTTCTCCCTCTTTTCCTGTTGCCAGAAGGGGAATGGTGTTGAAATCTCTGAAAAGACTGAAAAGGGAGGATCTAATCTGACTCAGAATGGTGTCAACCATACAGCTGGGGCCACCGCAGGCATTAATTGCACTTTGATTTATTTATTTTTTTCCCCCAAACAACCATAAGTTCACATGCAGTCTGGTACATAACCAAGATTTATCATTCCAAATAATTCCACACGTAAAACTAATGAGCTATACTTCATTTATTTGATCAGATGCACTTATTTGATTAATTCTATTATTCATTAAAAATAACCTCATCTTGCACTGCCTTTGCACAGAACCAGAAGGTCAGTTTGGCTGGTTTGTTTCAGAAGAAGTCATGTATTATAATATAACAGCTGTTATAATATAACAACATAACAGCTGAATAAACAGAGCTATGAGAGTTTATCATAGCTGTGTCTGAAACCTAAAAAATGTAGTGGGGACAGAAGGCATCAAAACATCTGAATTAAATGTTTGTGTATCAGGACGTTTACACTTGGCAGGTTTGGTTGGATTAAAATGAACTTTGGTTCTGTTAATGCGGTTCATTTGAATAAGTGTGAACAATGCCAGCCAAACCTTGGTGCACACCAAAAAAAGTTCCAAATGGACTCTGGTGCGGTTCAAATGTAATATGAACACAACACGGACCAAAGACATCTAAACCAACCAAAAACAGCATGTGATGTCATGCTATCCTAAAAAGGACAGAATGCTCAAGCATACCTGATGCTTCTCATCATAAGAGCTATGTTGCCCATTACAGTTCAGTATAGCCATCAAAACTACCGTCTCCAGCAGATCTCTGTGTGTGCAGCAGAGGAATTCCTGGCGCTGTTTATGCATTTTATTAGCTCTTCATGAGTTCTCAGTTGGTAAAAATACTACCACATTTACACACATACAATGAGTGCATTTAGCTCAGCACACAGAAGTTTTGGACGTTTGGTAATTTCACTAAATATACGCCATAAAAGCTATCCAATCAGGTTGTAACTGTATCCGTATGTCATTTATTTTGTATCTTTATGTTCAGTTTAAAAAATGACCATTTCATGGTCTGGGCCAAAAGAACCAAGAGAATAAAATACAAGTGTAAACGCAAGCTAAATGTATCTTTTCCTGCCTATGATAGCCCACAATCCTGTGCATGCTTTGGTAGACAGTGGAAAGAATTAAAATGGTGTCTGGTGGAGTAGTTGAAAGAAGAATTTACAAATGTCCATTTTTTCCTCATTTCCCATTTTCTGCTGAGAAGTCATAGAATATTATATCACTAGAATTATAAAATATTCATCTGGTTATCTCTAAAACTCACTTGATCTTGTCCTAGGTCATTAGATATGTCACTATGATGCCTTATGCCCGGTTCAAACTACACAATTTTAGCCCGATTTTGCCACGATTTGCTTGACGTAGGGTGTCGTGGGGATTCGTAAACGACAATGGGCGTCGGGACGCAAGATTCCATCGTTTCAGCACGTGTAGTGAGTCATAGTGGACGACAACCGATTCCGCGTCTGCGATGCTTCACGACATCACGACAGAAAGACTAGCATGTTTAATTTTTTTTCCGTCGTCCACGACGAGTTCTGTCACATTGGTGACGTTGACCAATAGCAGCACAGAAGCTCTTTCATACACAGGTTTCAAACATGGCAAAACGAAAGAGAGATGATGGTGCTGCTAGGTGGAATTATGAGATGGAGGAAAGGTTCGTGGAGCTGTGGCAACAGTACTCCTGCCTGTATGATGTGTCATCAAGGGACTACCACGACAGAACAAAGAAAGAAAAATGCTGGCGAACTATAGCGGAAGCGCTTCAGCAATGTTTACACTCTTGTTTTCAGAAGTCAGTCGCTAGTTCCGCCTTCTCGATGACATCACACGCGTCGTTAAAGACGGCACGCGATGAATGGTCAGGAAACAACATGTAGTCTGACATGTTTCTTGTCCACGACACGACAAGATTTTAGGAGTCAAAATCGTGAAATCTGACACTGACTATCGTGACCGACAAAAATTGTGTAGTCTGAGCCCGACATTACAGTCACTTTGAAACCAGTTTTACAAGAATGTACCTTTATACAAAAACTATGATGACTGACAGAGTAGAAAGCAGCATAGACTCACTGGAAAACTTGTCTTTACCGACATTTCTGCAAATCTCTAAAAACATACCAATACTGTACGAATGCAGTTTCCAGCTGAAATGAACACTAGAGGCAGTAAAACGGCAACAACTTTTATTCCTTTTTCACACAAATTATGATTAAAGGGGCAGTTTTGTAAACCGCTGTCACAATTCATTTATTGCAGATAAAACTGAAGCACTTCTAGCGCCACTCACTGGAAGTTTCACTTTGAATGTGTTGCGAAACATGCAATATCATTTTACAGAATTGGTACAACAGACACTTTTTTCCAATGTGCCTGGTTTGGTAGTGAGGTAACAAGACAGCTGCCTTCAGCCGACCCAGACAATGTCATCAAAAACCTAAAACTGGAATCAGGTGCATCAAAAGACATGCAAATGATTAGAAGATAATTCGGGAGTAACATGGAGTACACATCCTCATGTAAACATCAGAAAGCTGTGGTCTGCTTTAGTCTCAGCAGCTGAGGTGTGTGGCTTTCTCATGTGGCTCTGGAGCCTTTCATTATCTGCAAGATCATCTATAAATGCTGAACATTTCGAACCACTGTACAGGGCAAGAAATTGCATCAAAATCAGCACATAGAGATAAAGGTAGAGTTATTTAGCCACAATGTCAGACTTCATGTTTGGAAAATCAACTACTGAGCAGAAGATCCTCATACCAGCTGTGTAGTATGGTGATGAAAGCTTTATGGGTGTGTTTTTCTGTCTTATGGTCAGTTCAGCTTGCCATACCACAGAGCACTTGAGGAAAATACACTTAATACACTTATAAGAAATGATTCCTCCCCTAGAGGAGAGAAACTCAAAATTTCAGTTGTGAGATGAACAAGATTAACACAGCAATGAGAAAAAATTGATATAAAATGGAAACTTTTGCTTTGGTCTCCTGATTCTCAGATGTTTCTTCTGAGAAAAAAAAAAAGATTGTTAAAATATTTTTTAAATTTTAAATCGTTTTATTTATTTGATCAAGGACAGAATGGCCGATGGTGTCAAAGTCTCATGCTGTATTTTATTTCATATTGCAGATGAAACTACCAGTGCTGTTGTTGGGTCGGTCAGCTGATCTGAGACCAGGTGAGTTTGTGGTTGCTATCGGCAGTCCGTTCTCCCTTCAGAACACAGTGACTACAGGCATCGTCAGCACCACCCAGAGAGGCGGCAAAGAGCTGGGCCTGCGTAACTCTGACATGGACTACATCCAGACAGATGCCATCATCAATGTGAGCCCAAACACAGTTAATCATACACTGCATACACACGGTCTTTGTTGCTGATGCTCAGTTTTGTTTGTTTTTATTAATAAAAAAAATAATAATAATAATAATTATATATATATATATATATAGAGAGAGAGAGAGAGAGAGAGAAAGTGACTTAAATACACATTTTGATGAACGTGTAGTGAAGACAAAGTGTACAAAGATTGAATTAAAACTTTATGAAGTAGTTTTGCATAATCTTATTGTTTCCACTATAAATTATATTTCCATTCTTATGTTATAACCAACCATGATTTAACCTATAAAAATGAGTTTTTAAATATAAATTCAATTATTTAGATTGATTCAGTGATGGTAAATAATTTTGAATAAAACCAGTTAATTTAGATGTTACCATTTTTAAATTACAATTTTTCAGCGTTCACTGCAAAAGAGCTATTTCTACCATGATTTTGACTATAAAATAATTACTTATTTTTTTTTTACTTACAAATTTTTGACTGGAATAAAATCAGTTTTTCAGTATGTATATATAT